ATATATATTTTTAGTTGTCCTGATCATTTCTTTCTATTTTTTAGTAGAGACGGGGTCTCGGTCTTGCTCAGGCTGGTCTCGAACTCCTGACCTTGAGTGATCCACCCGCCTCGGCCTCCCAGAGTGCTAGGATTACAGGCGTGAGCCACTGCGCCTGGCCTCAGACTCCATTCTTGACTTGTGTAATTAGAATCCTTTATTTTTTTGAAGTGTGGGGACTTTGAATGTACATATTAAACATGCTCCCTTGGGAATTCTTACCCAAGAAGAAATCTGAAAACCAGAGACACTGCCCCTTTTCTCTATGTGGCATGGGGGAATCTGGCCTCTAGCTGCTGGTGGTGGAGGGACAAGGGGCGATTTGAGGGGCCTGCACCAGAGACATGCGTGTGTTCCTAAGGGGATTTGCAAGGAATGGGTTGGAGGCTGCAAAAGTAGGGTGTGTGCAACTTTGTGCTTTTGGTTGACCCCATGCCCCTGGGAGTTACCCTTGACTTCCCTCTCACTCCAGTCCATTTCTGTTCTAATCAACTCATTTTCTTTTTTTTAATGGTAGCTCTCAAATCAACTCCTTCCTTTCCATTTCCACAACTGACTTCTAAATCAGCGTTCTACCTTTACTCTTACGCATTCTAAGCTCTTTAGCCAGAAATGGTCAAGATATATATTAACCAAGGCCTTTCTCTAATAATTTCCACATTGAGATTATTGGAAAGTTGCTTCTGCAGATATTACTTGAGCTCCCCTCAAAAATATGACCTTTGGAAGGCTCATAAGAAAAAAGGGCTACAGAAAGATTTCTCCATCTTCTGTGATCATTTTCTAGGTTCTTCTCCTTTTTTCACTACTTTAGCAGTCCTTTCCTCTCCTTTCTGGTTAATTCTGTGCTTTCCTTTAAAGGTCCAAATAGGTCACTTCCCCCATGAAGCTCTGACTGCCCTGGTCTACGGATATCTTTCTCCCAAGAACACCTATAGTACTGATTCAAAAGTCCATTAAGAACCCAGCAATGCAATTCATATTGTAATTTCTATTTTAATGTACAGAATTATTTCCAATTCATCAGGTCTGATGCAGTTCCTTAGTCACAATTTATTAATAACATGGAACAACTGGGCAAGAACAGTAGTAAGTGACGCTGCTCTTTCCTTGGTTTATCTTTGACCTGAAACGAGCTGCTATTCTGGAGAATACGTAGGGACTCCAAAAGAATGGGGCCCAGGGATCCTCGCCCCTTACAAATTCTGGACTATATTGAGGGGAAGGCCTCAGTAGTTCATTCTCACCCAGCCCAGTCGATCCTGGTCCTCCCTCTCTTGGGTTCAGGGCGTTCCTCGAGTTTTCTTGTTCCCACCCAGGCAGGGAGGGCTGGAGTCCAGCTGAGGGTTCTCCCTCCACTGGGCAGGGGTCCGCGCCTGGATGGCCAGCGCATGGACCGGCCCGGCCAGCTCCTCGGACAGGGCCGCGTGTACCAGCCTGTGCCGTTGCAAGGGGCTCAGTCCCTCGAAACAAGAGCTCACCACCGCCACTTGGAAATGCGTCTCGCTGCCCGGTGGGACCGCATGGCCGCCACTCTCGTTGCGAAGCTCCAGCACCTCGGGACTCAGGGCCTGCTCCAACTTGGCGCGAATGGCGGCCTCCACCGGACCGATGGTTCCGGATCCCGCGCTGGTCCGGGACAAACAGACGCTGCCAGCCATGGAGACAAGGCGCGGGACCAGCCGCCCACTCAGCATCAGCTACCGCAGAGAAGCGGACGCACGGAGTGAGGGTCAGGGCCTCCCGCTTGGTGAGGGCCGAGTGTTATCATCCGCTCCGCAGTCCCCGCAACTGTCCCCAACTCCCCAGACCCCCACCCCTCGCGACATCTACACCCGGGCCCGGTAGGAAGCCCGCCTAGACACCACACAAGGAGACCGCCCCTTTTCTCTGTGTGACGTGGGGGAATCTGGCCTCTAGCTGCGGGTAGTGAAGGGACAAGGGCGATTAAAGAGGCCCGCACCGGAGGCGCGTTCTTTCCTAAGGGGATTTGCAAAGCTGGAGGCTGCAAAAGTAGGGTGTGTGCAACTTTGTGCTTTTGGTTGACCCAATGACCCTGTGACCCCTCTGAACCCCAGGCTGGCCCGTTTCTACCTGCCGCTTGGCCTCGGCTACTGCAATTTCAGCTCTGGATCAGGACTCCTGACGTTCCGGGAAAAATGCAGCGCTGACGTCCTGAAGCGCGCTGGGAAATGGAGTCCTTCTGCGCCATAGCAGGGCCGGCAGGCGCCGCGCGGTGCCCGAGGGCTCATGGGAACTGTAGTCTCGGAGTTTCCCGACTCGCGAGGTCGCCGAAGTCCTCAACCAGAGCCCGCAAAGAAAAAGGGCTTTCCTGCGCAGCTGGGGTTGGGATTATTCGTCCTATTTATTGCCAATAGATCTTGTAGATCATCTAGACAACTCCTTTATTTTACATACAAGAAAATGGAAGTCTGTTCCATTTCCTGGATACATAATTATTGTGCGCCAGGCCAGTGCTGGAGGCTGGGGAGTGAAGAGAGGCCCTGTCCTCAAGGAGTTTACAGAACGCTGGAGAAGATGGACAAGTGAGCGGACAATAGCAATACCGTGTGCTAAGTACTGTGATGAGACTAAGCAAACAATGCTAAGGAGCCATGTCATCCGGACTTTGGGGGGGGTGGCGGTGGGGAAGAGAAAATTTCCAAGAGGAAATTTAGGGGAACGGTCCGGAAGGGACAGCATGAAAACCCGTTTCTCAGTCCCTCATAGGCTATGGCTGTGGTAGCTGCGCATGCAAAAGCCAGGAGGAGAGAGAACTCTGAGGGAGTGTTCCTAGTGGGGTAGTTAGGGTTATGTAAGGTCCATGCCCAGGGGGCAGAGATGATGGTAATGAGTCAGGAGTTAGGGGCCAGACCACGCTAGGCCTTGTAGCCCTTGTTAGGTGGTCTTGTCTTTATCCTAGGAGCAGTGGGAGGCTAG